CATGCATTCACAGTCAGAAAAGACTCAGTCTCTTGGCAAACCTCTGCTTTTGGATAGATTTAGTATTCAATTGTTAAAATCTCCTAACTCTTAGAAATTAAGCAACATCTGGGAACAATCAGCCAAGGCAGCTTTAAAGCATTTGACATAATCACATCATGTCTTTTAGAGCCCAAGTTTTATCTTGTGTACCAGAAAGTTGTGTTTTAGTGTAAAATGCACAGGCTTTGGAAAACTCAACAGACTTGGGTTCAAATTCCCATTATGCCAATTAACAGTTGATGACTTTAAGGAAGTCAGTTTCTTCACATTTTCGCTCCCTCCCTGAAATGGATATAATATGCAGTGAATCCTTATTGTTCATGGATTCTGCATTTGTGAATGTTACTTGCTAATTTTTCTTATAACCTCAAAATCAATACAACGATTTTGTAGACAAGCACAGAGTAGTGAAGAGTTTGAGTTGTCCAAGGAACGTGTTTACAGCTGAGGTCAAGCAAGGTTTTACTTGGCTTCCTTTTTCCAGCTCTCTACTGTTAGTGCCCCTTTCACAGTCTATTAGTGCCACATTGTTTGCGTTTTTGCTGTGCCTTTCAGAGAAAGTGCTTGAGTTAGATAAGCTTTGTGAAGACCTGAATTGTAGTGCTATTGGCCCTGAGTTCAATGTTAATTAATCAATGACATGTAATAAATAAGTTGTCTTTAAACAGAAATATATACAATAAAGTATTAATCAGTTGACAAAAATATTGGGACCAGAGGCTCACAAGAACCTAATCCTGTCTTTCCTCGAGGAGCAATGGATCATTATTCACTAATTCAGTGTTTGTAACATCTTTGTAGAACCTAACTGCTGCAGTTAATGAGCACTGACTATGCTAGTCTTTCTGAATTTGGAAAAGGATACAAGTACTTACAACATAGATAGTAGCTGGTATCATAGTAATTTTTATCGGGGTGTTTCCTTGGAACAAACAATTGTATTTTTGGTCATATAAAGCTAGAAAGGTAAAACAAAAATGGAATAGAATAATTTGGTTTTTAGAATTTTTTTTGTTTTTTTCCTCCTTTAACCAGAAAATATTGGTGTGTGACTATAGCACTGATTTGGTTAGGCCTTGTGATGATGAGTATTTTATTTTAAATTATGTAAAAATAAAGTTTCATAGGACTGGACAGTGTTTATACATTCAGTTTATAATGAGGCATTCTGTTCATCGCATGAATGTTAGGTAACACAGCATTCACAGTTTTTATAAAATGATGTTGCTATCATGCTTCTCCACTAATGACAGTTTATGGGAACAGATTTTTGTCTCTGGTGATATAGGCATAAGAAAAGTAAACTTACATACAACCAAATAAATTCTACTCAGATGCTATTCATTGGTGCCCAGGGAAGTAACAATAAAACAAACTTGATATTCAATATCTTCTTAATGTTATTCTACATTTTCTTTTAATATTTAATAATTCCATTTTATGTTTGTTTAATACTGGAATTATAAAGAACTAAAAATCTGGTTCTGTATTGTTTCCTGTTTTACTAATATCTTTGAATCCTACTTCACTATCACTAATACGTATAAATCATTAATACTTCTAGAATATTTGATTACCAATTTTTATATTCAAGATATATTGGTTCTACATTGTTTTGAGAAACAGCTCTGTATTTATACATTTTTACTCAAAAATGATTATTTTGCTTTTAACTTATCTGAAGTAAATGTGAAATGGAAAGAATATTTTTCTTTTTTTATTATCTTTCTGACAATCAGATCTGCTCTCACATTTGTTCTTCTTCTAAAGGTTAGCATTTTTCAATTGAAAGACCAAGAAAAGCTGAATCTGAAAAACATGAATCTTCTCGTGTTTTCTGTAGCTCTTGACCTTTGTTCCTTAATTGTCTTTGTAACAGAAATTTAATTCATATCAAGTTTTTTAAATTTATGAATAAGGGTAGGGAGTTCCTTTTGCCATGAGTTATACCATGACTTGAGATTCTCCCAATAGCAATAAATAGACAATAAGTCTTTAAAACATATGTATAATTACAAGTGTGACATGGGTATAATTACAGATGTGCTTGAAAAATTAAATTTGATAATGGATTGTTTATTTACAGGCAAATAAAGCAATAAAATTTCATTTGAAATTAAGCACTCAAAAAATAAAATAATGCCTTCTAAGTTTAATGAAAATTCAGGATTATGATATTAAAGCAGCAGGAATTCCTTTCTCAGGGGCAGAGATTATGACTTATTTTATGCATAATAGAGGCTTAATACAGCTTGAGCCTGCCTGATCCCCAAACCAAAAAGACTACAAAATACAAAACTATTTGAGTGCCAACATGACAACACTAGTGGAAAATTCCACACATGTAGGTTGCAGTAAAAATTGGATGCAGTAAAAATGCTGTCAAAACTTTGTGTTGTGCACACAATTATTAAATGTATTGTATAAAATTACCTTCAGTCTATGTGTATAAGGTGTATATGAGACATAAATGAATTTTGTGTTTAAACTTGAGCCTCATCCCCAAGATACTTCATTATTTATATGCAAATATTCCAAAATCCGAAAAAGCTCAAAATCTGAAACACTTGTGGTCCCAAGTACTTCAGACAAGGGATATTTGTCCTGTAAATATGATACAGGAAGAGCACTGAAGTGGGAGGCTGTTATCGTGTTAGGAAGTGGTTAGTTTTAACTTTGTAATTATTAGCAATGATCTTGGCAAGTCACTTTATGTTTCTGCATTGACTGTGCAAATCTATAAAACAAAGTTGAACTAGCTCTTCAGGGTCTGTTCTACCCCTTAAATTCTATGATTCTAAGTATTTTCAAAATCTGTTACAGGATTACTTTAGGATAAAAATATATTTAATGGTGGTCAATTTTTTTTTCTCAAAGGGTACCAGTTTCTTCAACTCTGTCTCTTACTCTAAAATCTACAGATTGACACATGTAGACAGAGATGAATTTTTATTATGTCAGTTTGGGGTAATAGAGAAGAAAGTTTTAAAATGGTTATTTCATAAAGTCTAAAGTGAACTTAGTAACTCTTGAACAGTGTTGAGTTTCTTTGTCTTCGGTGTCATTTTTTTGCTCCCAAGATGATGATTATAGGTTAAAAAGTCTTTTACTCGTACACAAATGAATTTTTGTTTTATCGACTGTGCTTCTGGGATAGTTCTGGTACTTGTAGCAGATTAGCTGTTGGTTCTGGGCCACCCTTCAGTTCTGAGAGGAGTCCTCGACAAGCATATACATGGTTTACAGACCAAGTCGTGGCTCTTCTGCATTGGAGTCATCCTACTGTTGAATGTAGTCGGGATCAGCTGGACAGAATTTCATCACTGGTGTTTTTCAGAAGTTTTCCAAAGTAATGTTAAATCGGTGTATTTCCAACATATACGTTTAATTCTCAATGGAAAGTATATGTTTATGCAGCCATAAGTTCTTTCTGGTTAAGTTTTAAGCCATTAGCTACCTAGTGATAGTGGGAAGTAATGGTGTGATATTCAAAATTGCCTATAACTCTTACAGGTACTGTATCTTTTTTTTTTTTTAATCGGTGGATAAAATCCTTTGGATAGAATCCTTTAACACTTAAGACTTTAGTGAATTTCATTAAAATTTTTTTCTTTGTGTTAATAACACAAGGCAACAAGTAAGAGTGAGGAGACCTGAGTTGTTCCAGCTTTGTCAATAACCTCTGCTGTTAAAGCCCTGTTCCGCTGGAGAGTGTGTTAAATGCGAAAGAATGCATAAGTGAATAATGTATGGTTCTTACCCTCAGTGATAAGACTGAAGTTACTTAGCAAAATAATCTCAAAGACAAGTAGCAAATTGTGTGAAAGGTTTGTTTTTATAATGAAAATAATTGATTATTAGTATCCAGTTTCTGGAACGTTTCTTGCATTTTGCCCACAGAAGACCTGTGAAAAAGATTTCCTTTTTTTCTTTCCATAATCAGGGATGTTCCCAAAGCAAGTAATTGGAATAGCTAAGTCATTTGACTCCAGATCTCAAATTTTGCTTAGTTACATGCCATCCAAACAGAAACATGATACATATATACCCTTGCCATCAGTTCTGTCCATTGAGGATGACAGACAGTATCCCAGGTTGTTCTCTCTAGATTATTAAGCTGACCGTATCCTCCCCTCTATGATTGGTCTTGGGCACCTCGGAGGGCTCATATCATTTCTAGAGTTTAACTAGACAGTTGGTGCTGGCTGCCAACTAATGACCCAGGAATGACTCTAAACAGTGGAAGGCCGAGCTATATCTCTATTGCTCTTGCATTTTAACCCAAAACTGCAAACACACTTAACCAAGCCATCAAAAGAATGCTTTTTTCCTGTGTAGCCCAACCATATCATCCTACAATGACGACTTCAGTGTTATACCTATCAAAAGTCCAACACATTGCAGGCTCTACTTATTGTTTATTTTAACAAGTGCTGTTGAGCCTCTTCTGTGTGGACAGCTGAGCTAGGTGTGGTGGACTAAACCACTTTCCTTAATGTTAGATCATTTATAGTACCACAGGAGATCAGACATATGACTGCCAAAATGAGCTATGCAGGTGATAAGTGCTCGGTTTATATTATTGTGGGCTGGACTAAATGATGGACTTTATTCACCCTAATTTTGGTCATTGTTGTGAGTAAAAATGTAGATTTTTGTTTTTGCGGCAGTTGATTTAGGATTTTCAGAAAAGAGATGAAAATGACAGTTACTTTTCAGTACTAAGTCATTGCTAAATTCTCTGAAAGAAGGACGATTTATATTTTCTTTTCATGGAAGCCAGTTTTATTATATTTTGTTTGGGTCTAAGTAAGTAAGTAAGTAAGATTTCTACTTCAGAATAATACTTAGAACAACCATGAAGAAGAAAACGACTTGTAAGTTGCTTAATTTTAATGAGAGAAATAGTTTTTACTTGATATTTATCTTGCTTTTTTTCTTTTTTTTTTTCTGGTCAGGGGTGAAAGCATGTCTACAAAGCAAAGTGTGTGTACAAGAAGAAACGTATGAAATTCCTGAAGGTCCACAGAGAAGCAGACTCAACAGAGAACAGCTGGTATTTTCTTTCTTTTTTTTTTTTTTGTACTGCTTTTGTCGTTCTTATTATGACTTAATATTATCATCACCATCAGGCAAAACTTCTTCTGCCCTTTCAATAAGTACAGGTGACTGATTAAAATTTTAATTGTGCTTATTTCAAACACTTGATTCTGAAAGATGATCACGATGAGCAGTAAAATCCAGAAGGTAATAATTTAATACTGTTAATGGATTTTTGGCATCTTGAACATTCTCATAAACCTTTCAGAATCGGAGGTAAATTTCAGATACAGGAAGTAGCTTGAAAGAAGACTTACAGCTGCTGCTCAGATTTAGTTACCATATGTCTTTATGGGCACATATTGCAGTTTTAATGGATAATATTCCATTATCCTGTTGATACATCTAAGTATATGAGACCTGACAAAGAACATTTTTGTAGGAGGGAAACTGTGAGACTTTTTACATAGAAGTGTGTTTCATTGGATCTCTAGCCATGGCTCAATAATCTATTGTGCCCTGGTGAATAAACTCTGGAACCTTTGGGCCACGCTCCCACTGTAGCCGTCCTGGAGACCTTAGACTGGTGCTACGTAGGGACCTGAATGTGAATGGGCAGCATTGGATAAAGGTTCATAAAAGAGATGTTAGTCTTGTAATTGAATTAAGTTTAGCCTGGTATCCCTGAAGCATATTTCAGATGCCCTAGGAATTCTTGGGACTTTAGGTCTCATCATATATGCATAAACATCCTGATAAAAGAAGTTTGATGACAGTTTTTGAGTTTTTTAAAATACACATACCTAAAATTTTGGTAGAGTGAAAAGAAACCAAGATGGTGATTGAATCTTAGGGAAAAAATTATAAATAAGAAACCCTTATCTGCATAAATATTTTTCTTACTCTAATTTGTTCCTTTGAAGAATGACTTATCCCAGAACCTCATTAAGTAGCTTCTTAGGTTGCGGTCAAAACTTTATTTTATGCACAAAATTATTGTATGAAATTATCTTTTGGCTCTGTGTATAAGGTGTGTATGAAACATTAATGAATTTTGTGTTTAAACTTGGATCCCATCCCCAGGATATATCAATATGGGCGTACCATTATGCCAAAATCCAAAAAGATTTTAAATCTGAAATACTTCTGGTCCCAAGGATTTCGGATAAAGGATACTCAACCAGTATTTTATTTCTCACAGTCATATGCAGTGTTTTAAAATACAGTACTTTGATCTGCCTTTAAAAGGTGTTTTCTTATTGTTTCAGTTGCCAAAGCTGTTTGATGGATGCTACTTCTATTTGGGGGGAACCTTCAGGCACCATCCAAAGGACAACCTTATTAAGCTTATCACTGCAGCTGGCGGCCAAATCCTCAATAGAAAACCCAAGCCAGACAGTGACGTGACTCAGGCCATCAATACAATCGCCTACCACGCCAAGCCCGATTCTGATCAGCGCTTCTGCACACAGTATATCATCTATGAGGATTTGTCTAATTACCGCCCAGAGAAGATTCGGCAGGGCAAAGTCTGGATGGCTTCTTCGAGCTGGTTTATAGACTGTGTGATGTCATTTGAGTTGCTCCCACTTGACAGCTGAATATTGTACCAGATGAACATTTCACATTGAACAAGTTCATGGAGTTTGCGACAGCCCAGCCAATTGCATTGTTTTTGATCACTCAGTTTTACAAATAGGTGGAGTCATTCATTTTTTTAAAGTTTCAGTTTTAAAAAATCTTATGCCAGATTAGGAATTCACTTTGTGTTTGCCATTTAGATGCTGGGATTCCTTTTAAGGATTTTTCTTTTTAAAACTGGCATTTAAAAAAAATTTTTATCATGTCTTTCTATTCAAATTATCAGCTATTAAAGATTAATGAGAGGCTATCAGACTGTTGGTTAAATATACAAGTGGCATCATTACTGTTTTTGCCTTTTAATACTTTTTTTTTTTTTTGAGTTGGAGTCTCACTCTGTCGCCCAGACTGGAGTGCAGTGGCCGCTCCAGGCCACCGCAGCCTCGACCTGCTGGGCTCCGCGATCCTTCCGCCTCAACCTTCCGAGTAGCCGGAATTACAGGCACGCGCTACCACACCTGGCTGATTTTTTGATTTATTGTAGAGATGAGGTCTCGCTGCCCAGGCGGGTCTCGAACCCACAGGCTCAGGCAATCCACTCACTTCAGCCTCCCAAAGGCGCGGGATTATAGGCTGAGCCACCGAGCCTGGCTCCTTTTAATACTTTTTAATGAAAAAAATCCACACTTGGCACCAGTGGAAATACTTGCCATTCTTCCATAAACAGAATATTATCAAATAATTCTGACTTTATTGTAATGAAAGGAGAGGATCCAATCTAAATGTGCCACTATAGCTGTTAAATTTGCCCATCTGCAGTTGTATTTATCTTACATTGTTTTCATTTTGTTTCTTATAATTTTCTTTGATGTCTGTTCATACATTTTTAACCATGATTTTATCATGTATATTTATCAGAAATCATGACTTACACCTTAGCATTATTGTTTTTTGGTGGTGAAAATTAACACTGGGCTCATGGTTACATATTTTTATTGTATACATTTGCTTATAATTAGCTGTCAATTTATAACTGTTTATTTACTATATATGCATACATATATGCTTATATATTATATAGAACATTTTCTGGCGCATTTTAGTATCAGTATTTTTTAGGTCTTACCAGTCTAGCAAATTTTCAAATGTCAATACATTGCCTTAAAAACAGTCTTTTGGTAGACCTTGCTAGGTATTGCTAAAATAATTTTTTGAAGGTCTTAATTTTTTCCTTTGTAAAATTTTCAAATTTTTAGGTTGGCATGGAGGCCGATGTTGAAGATTACTTGATTTAGAACAGATTCTTTCCAATAAGTGTAGAGGTGGGAGAGTAGAGGGACTTACTCCTAGTACCAAACAGTCAAGGACCTCAAGTAGCAGGCAGGACATCACCTGAGAATGGCCAGACCTGGGAATGTTATTCTGGTTTGAGTGTTCTCCTTTGTGAATTGACAATGATAGACTAGATCATTTTAGAACACTTTTTAAGAAGCAGAATTCTTTAATATGTCTTTCTTAGAAATTGAGTGTGCTTATAATACTAAAGGCTTAAGGAAAGGAGACACTGTGAGACCTGCCAGTTTGGTCCCTCATGAGCCAAAGAGAACCATTTGATAACCACTAGAATGGAGTATTCCTAATTTAAGAATACTGAGACTCTGTGAAGATAATCAGCATTTTAAGATCCACTTATTTAAAAGTTTAAGATTCCATTTATCATTTGAAAATGCATTTTACTTTAATTCCTTTTATGACATGTTTCTTCTTCATATAAAGAAATATATTGTGTGAAAAAAATAATATCCTTTTGACCCTGACCTTCCAGAGCAAATTAGCTCTGAAATACTCTACAACCAGTAATGTATTTGTCCCACATTTCATTCTGATGGAGAATGATCAACACCATAGCACCAAACAATCTGAGGGGTTAGGTAATGTCTGGATTAAATAATTTAAGATGCTGGGATTTGGGTTGTCATTTTTTATTTATAACTGACTTTAAGTCACTTTCTATTGCCTCATAGGTCACATTCCTAGACAGGTTTGTGTCTGTTCCTTGCATCTAAATTCCTGTTTGTGAAAACACCTTTGGGGTTTCCTGTGCACTTCATTCCTTTTCTTGGTTTATCCCTCTCATCTTTGTTGTTGTTTTCTCCCCTACTATTAAGTAAGCAGTTTCATTTTTGATTTCTTTAAATATTTATTTTAACAGCAGTTGGTTTATGTTAAGCTCTCGAAACTTGTGATTGCACTCTATAGATTTACTTGTAATTATTTTCATTTTTTATTTTTCAGTTGTAGGTTCAAGCTTCCTTTTTATTTACCATAAATCATTAAAGTCATTTGCTTCCATATAGCTTCATCATCTATAAAATTGCCTTGCTCTGTGCTGTTGAAGAATGAGACTCAGCGCGACTTGCGAGAAAATCTGCCCTCAAAAGTTTATCTTCTTGAGCATTAAATTTGTACTTAATTTTGAATAGAAGTATTGCTGAAGTGTATTAGATACTTTGTTGCCTTAACTCAGTTATTCTGAATACAGTGTAACCTTGATGGTTTGGAATCCTCATTAAGAGTATCAATTACACAGAGTCTTTCCTGGTTCTATTTAAAGTCAGAGAGTTGGTAGCTTTTCCACATTATTTCTCATGGCTGTTTGAGAGTTCTGTCTGCATTTGTAGCTTTTTCCCTTGACAGCTGCTACTTGGTAGCTATTTACCTATCTCTACTAATACTTTGCCATATCTAATTTAATTTTTTTCTTTTGACTTGCTGAAAAATGGAAACCAGATAGGAAGTATATGAGAAATGATTGAAATAAGGATAAGTGAGCAATGTGTGAGGGTTTTAGTGATTTTCTAAGAGTTCAATGCTTGAATTTGAGTAGATAGCATTTGCCATTTATTTTGTCTGTCTCAATTTCTTCTGAGCCTGCTTTGTGAAATTGCTAAGTGACTTCTGCATAGATAAAGGTTATGTTTTGGGAGGTTTGATGTTTCCTAAGGGAATGTGAAAATTCATGAATGGGGGTAGGGTCACATTAGCTGTTGGTGCCTCCAGGGGTCAGTGTAGAAAAAGTGTTGTGTTCTAAACATTCACAACTTCATTGTCACAAGTGTCTATGCTATTTCCTACCCCACACATACTAAAATGACAGGAACTGATACTTCTTTTATTTAATAGCTAAAATAAGATGGATTGAACTACAAATTGTGAACTTAATGTATGTCTTTGTAAGTCAATCTTTTCCAAAGATACATAGGTCAAACTACCTAATAAATGAAGATTGAACACTTGTTCTGTAGAGTTCTAATTTGTTTGGGTCAACTAGTAAGTCTTATGTCTGGCTAATTGATCTGCCTACTCTCTTATGAATTTTAGAGATTATTGATAATTTGTGTAGTTTTCTAAGGTGCAAGTGCACTTTCTGATATCTGCAAGTTTCTATCTGAAGGGTCATGTGAGAGAAGTGGGGAAAACACTAGACTGTTCTGAATTTGACTCAGCTTTAAAGGGTTAATGCCCAGCACCCCAGCCTCTGAGGAGGTTCCTGCACAGGTTTTAAAGTTAGTCAGACCTGGGCTTGTTACCATCTCTTTATTGTTTCTCTAACCTGTGTCATAAGTGATAAGGCGGGGAAGATACTGTCCATCTCACCTGGATGTAAAGATGTGATCACTGTGAACAGGATGGTCCAGAGAAGAATCTAAAAGCTCACAAAATGGTGGCTTTTGGTAGCACAGTTCATGTCAGTCATGAGTCTCCTGGCTGTTGTCTCCCACACATCCACTCCTGGCGACCCTCGTGGCTTCACTTTTGTGATATTAGCCTGAACAACAACCAGAGCCTGGCCTGTTTGGCCAATTTCTTATCTCTAACTTCTCTTCCTTCCTGTGTGCACTGGTGAAATTTTCCCCTCTGTGAAGCCTCTCCTTGCCCATTCAACAAAATTTTTTAGCTTCCATTCCCTGAGTGTACTCACTATGGATACCAAGACTGATAGGCTTCCATGTGTACGTCAGGCAGCTTAGACAGCACTGGCCAAACTTCCATCAGCGTGATGTCACAAATCTTTCTGCCACCTCTGCTTGAGCCCTAAAAGAGAGGAGGTTGAACTTTTCTACCTTTAGTTCATATTTTCATGAATACTACAAGTTTGACAAAACCGTTCCGTATTGCCTGCTACCTAAAGGAATGTTTCTTAACTATTCTGTCATGAGTGAAACATACAGGTCTTTTTTCTGAATCTTACTAATGTAAACCCTTGAGTTTTTAAACAACTCTGTTTATGAAAGTATTACATAGTTAACGATAGAAACTTACAAAGTAAAAAAAAAACACAAGGAAGAAAATATTCCCCAAATCCAGGGACTATACACAGACAAATTGTTTTGTGTGGCCTTCATGGTATTAAAAAATAGATTGCATGCTGTTGAAAGGGCATATGTGCTTCCCTTCACCACAATCTCCACCCCCTCTTTACTCTTGGGCTTGCTCCTTGTTTATTCTTGTAGTTGGGCTTTGGGAGCACTGATTTAATCCACAACTCAGGAAATAGCAACTGTTAACCCTTTGCACTCTGGGACATCTTGCAGATCACCTACCAGCCACCTGACTGCACATTTTTACAAAATAGGGAAAAATAAATCACTTCATTTTAATAGTATAGCATTGGAACCAATTCTTTTATCGTAATGGTGTTTAACTTCTAATGGAATTTTGGAAATTGAGGAATTTATGACCAAAAAACCCCAAAATTTTATGTCTTATATTTTTCTAGCATAGCACATGAAGCAGTCACACCGGCATGCATTGCAGGTTCATCGATACATGTGCAATAATAATTTGACGTCTTTCACCTAGTGTTTTTCTGTTCTTTTTTCCTAACTGTCATATTTTGGTAGTGTTTGTTGTATTTTTCTCAAACTTTGGGATGGGAAGCCTAACAAAGCAGACAACAAAGAATCACTTATTTGCCCAAGGTCTCTCTGACACAAGGACAGAGGACCCTGATGTTAGGGTGCCGTCCAAGAGGTAAAGTGGGTTCTTGACTTCACACAGGAAAGAATTCAATAGCAAGCCACTGAAGTAAAGTGAAAGTAAGTCTATTAAAAGAAAAAATGAACAGAAA